TCCACCTGTACCGTAGCTTATTATTTTTCTTTTTCTACTGCCACTGTTTTTTTTTTCTTCTTTGTATTCGCCAACAGTCTGCATGCAACATACTGCCTCTCAGAGGTCAATTCTGGAACCATGCCAGATATCTGGTTTTGGGACGAAGCTTTTGATCGTCTGGACCCACACAAAGGAAATCTTCCCAAAACAAACATTATTGTTGACTTAGACAGGTTTATACTGTTCATAAGTACATTTAAATTAATATTGGAAAGTGAGAAAATCTGTGCTGCCTTCTGGATCGAATGTGTCACTTCACCCTGCGCACCGACTGCTACTTTTCCACACATAAAATGAGTATTTTTCATGCAATTAAATAACATTTCCAAACCAGAATTCCTTACATCTTCGTGTCTGTTCTTGTGCTGATGCCTAAATGTCAACTGGCTGTGTTTCTTTCAAGTGTGATATATTTACAGTACAAAACTTGATCTCGATGGGGATAGTGGGATGAGAATGTCTCCAACGGCAACCGGTGGCAGAGATGACTGCAGTGTCTCGGTGGTTGCTAGGGAGCTGGTGATGGTTTGCCTGGTTGTTAGGTCATGTGCCGGAGTGAAAACACATTTCACACTCTCTGACACTCACAGTCACTCACGTTACTTCGAGCCTTGCTTTGTTGGTTTGGCACTCAATGTGCTTGTCTCATTTAATCCTTTGTGTATTTTGACTGAAGACCTTATAGGAATTGTTTTAAACTGTAGAAAATGTGCATGTTTCTGACAAGCTCACTTAAATAACACACTTACTCACCAAATAGCATTGACACATAAACATAATTTGCTGTGTTTTTGATATTGTAGTCACATTTTGGGACCGTGTTGCATTTTTACATTCGCTGCTTGTTGCCATGCTGTGTTCAAGGATTAATCAGGAAAAAGGATTCCCTTGCTCCACTCACGGTAAAGCAGAAAGCGAGGAGACAGTGTCCCCAGCACGCTATTAGTATTATTGTGAGCTCTCTCATTACTGATGAGATTAATGTCGGGAGCCTCAAGCGCTCTCGGTTTGGTGAAATCTTCTGAAACACAGCTGACGAAAAGAGTTTTAGAAGTATTAAGTCCTAAGTATAAAAAAGAAAAATATCCCACCCAGTGTACGTTGCTCAGTGAGTGGTGGTGAAGGGGTTCCCATTCCCGCTAGGTAATTGTTTTGTCAGAAGAGCTCTTAATAAGAGTCTGTTTCAGTTACCATGGCAACAAGGGCTTTCCTGTTCCTCTCATCACCCTGCACGGCAAGCCCATCTTTGCGGTATGACACGACGCTCAGCAATTTCAGCACGTGTCCCTTAATGTCATATTAGGAATCACGTACTTCGATCAATCTGTCAATCAGAGAACTAGACTGTCTGCAACATCATTTGGTCGTTTTACAGTGAGGAACATAAATATTGGGACATTGACACAATTTACACCACAGTGGGTTTAAAATAAAACAAAACAGTTATGTTTTAATTGCAGACTTTCAGCTTTAATATGATGATATTGACAGTACATTTGAATCATTTGAACGGTGGAGAAATTACAACAGTTTGTATACATGCCACCCAATTTTCAAGGGACTGAAAGTAATGGGACAAATTAACAATCATAAATCAAATGTTCACTTTTTAATACTAGGTTGCAAATCAGTCAGTTACAGCCTGAACTTTGGAACACATCACCAGGGGCTGGATTCCATCCCTTGTGATGCTCAGCCAGGTCTCTACTGCAACTGTCTTCAATTCCTCCTTCTTCTTGGGGTATTTCCCCTTGACTTTTATCTTCAGCAAGTAAAATGGATGTTCAGTCGGATTTAGGTCAGGTTATTGACTTTGCCATTGCAATACATTCTACTTCTTTGTCTTCAAGAACAAAACTCTTGGTTGCTTTTGCAGAGTACTTTGGGTCATTGTCCATCTACAATGAGAAGCTCCGTCCATTGAGCTCTGAAGCATTTGGCTGAATTTGAGCGGACAATATTGCCTGAAAGACTATACTGGTATCCAGTAATTCATTCTTTTTAGACAAAGTACTTGGCAGTAGTAAAGTAAAGGCACAACTGATCAACAAGGCTGATTAACGTATTATACTTGGCTGAAAAGGGGCTACGTATAGAAACTGATTAATTGAACAGTCAATGAAGTCAATTGTGGATTGATTGAGTAATCACATATTGAAGCAATTGAGGTGAACGTGCACTACTCCTCTGCAGCAGCAGAGGCGCTGTTGATTCAGTCTCAAGCCGAGACATAATTCATGTCTACTGGCTAAAAAATGGGGTGGCCCTATTAGAGGTACCGGGTTCAAGTCCAGCTCCAGCCTCCCTGTGTGGAGTTTGCATGTTCTCCCCGTGCCTGCATGGGTTTTCTCTGGGTACTCTGGTTTCCTCCTGCATTCCAAAAACATACATGGCAGGCTGATTGAACACTCCAAATTGTCCCTAGGTGTGAGTGTGAATGTGAGCGCAGATGGTTGTTCGTCTCTGTGTGCCCTGCGTTTGGCTGGCAACCGGTTCGGGGTGTCCCCCGCCTACTGCCCGAAGACAACTGGGATATGCTCCAGCACCCCCCGCGACCCTTGTGAGGATAAAGCAGTTTGGAAAATGGATGGATGGTTAAAAAAGCTAACCGCTCTCCATGAATGCTTGGTAGCACAGAGGAACCAGCTGCTAACATCGGGGATCCACACAAAATAGGTAAACCAAGGTCAGACATTCCTCATCATGAAGGACTCCCAGAAGGGAACAACTCCATCAAACTGCCTCAGCACCACATGGAAGGTCCGATTGGAAACCATAGCAACCAAAATGATGGATGTATGGGAAAGGATCAATACATGAGCAGAGCACATAAAGACATGAGGTAGCTCTAAGGGCCGCCACAGTCAAATACTTAAGAAGGGTGAGGCAGATCCCCAAAAAGTCAGCTGATGGTTAGTGTTGTTTTTGGCGACCTGTTTCACTTTTAGTTTTGGTCTAGTTTTTGTGTCAGGCCATCTTTTTTTTTTTTTTTTTTGTATTTGTTTTGTTTTCATTGGTTTTAGCCATGTTTATTATATTCTTTTTACCCAAGTAAAAAAATTAAGTCGACTAAAAGTCAGAGGATTTTAGATATATTTTACTCAGTATTGTCCAGGACTATTTTAGTCTAGTTTTAATTGGCGGAAAGTGATGACATTTTAGTCAAGGTTTAGGTTGAGTCTTGTCTAGAAAATTGTATTTTAGTCTTTTTTTCAGTAATATGCTGTTCTATTTAGAAGGGGAGAGAGGGAGAGAGAGAGAGAGAGAGAGAGAGAGAGAGAGAGTTTTAAACAGGAAATTTGGTCAAACGCATGGTCGCTTGGACTAATACTGTGTTTGTACCGAAATTCCCATCATTTTTTATACTTGCAATTGAACTTTACACACATTTAATCTTCTAGCATTATACCACAGCAGTGACGTGTAACGTATAGTGCGCATTGTTTAAGACGAACAATGAGCAAAACGAAGATCAGTTTAACAAATGACAAACAACGTCAGTGAGTTCGAAGGCGCCTCACTGCTGTGAACTACAAAACCGCCACAGATAAACAAGCTCCGTTCCCTTGCCTGATTCGATTAAGTCCACAGGGGGGCACAATGGGACCAAGACGAGAACACTGATCTGTTTTTATACAGAACGAAGTTCCTGTTGCCATCTCAAACATAATCAAAACAAATATGGGTACGCAAGCTGATTTACTGACAAAAGAAAAAAAATACTGGTGCTAGATGATGAACAGGCTCTAGAGCAGGGGTCACAAATTACATTTAATATTATTAATTATTATTATATTATAATAATTTTAAATTACATTTAAAATTATATTAATATTATTATATATAATATATATTATTATAGGCGGCCCGGTAGTCCAGTGGTTAGCGCGTCGACTTCACAGTGCAGGTACCGGGTTCAATTCCAGCTCCGGCCTCCCTGTGTGGAGTTTGCATGTTCTCCCCGGGCCTGCGTGGGTTTTCTCCGGGTACTCCGGTTTACTCCCACATTCCAAAATCATGCATCGGAGGCTGACTGAACACTCACAATTGTCCCTAGGTGTGAATGTGAGCGTGGATGGTTGTTCGTCTCTGTGTGCCCTGCGATTAGCTGGCAATCAATCCCCGCCTACTGTCCGAAGACAGCTGGGATAGGCTCCAGCACCCCCGTGACCCTAGTGAGGATAAAGCGGTTCGGAAGATGAATGAATATATTATTATAAATCTTATAATATATATTAGGGAGATATATATAGTTACTGTAGCTAGCTAGATAGATAGCTAAATACTGTAGGTCTCCATAGAATCTACAATAATGCCCGTGTTTGCATTTTTAAATCATAATTTCTACTGGCAAATCACAATCCTAGCACTGGCGGGCTACTGGTGTGGTCCTCAAGGGCTACCTGGTACCCGTGAGGAGCAGGGGTCTCCACCACGTTGGAGACCCCTGCTCTAGAGTTCTTAGCATATTCAAGTATTTTTTCACATGGATCCTAATGACATATTCAAAATACTTTTATGAAGAGATTCTAGTTCAAACAATTGAAACGGACATTCTTAACTGTCAGATGCATGAGAGGGAATCTTGTTAAAGGCACTGTTTGACCAAACCAGTCCCACTTTTAGACATACTTATCTGTTGTGTTCATTATAAATGAATGTAGGGTAAAAAGATGCTCACCTGTATACATTCGTCTAAACTTTAGACATTCTGTATTACGTTGTTGATTGTGAAACTGAAAGAAATATATCGGTTCCTTTTGTTGTCAAATCTTCTCTGGCCATTTTCATGCAGGACAAAAGCCATAATGGTTTCAGCTACACTTCTTGGTAAAGTTGAGTTGCTTTTTTTCATTTAATTTATTGTTTTATGCTCATTTTATTTTTAAGCCATTATGACAGATTCATATGCAACATTATTGTACGTTTCAAGAAACTGCATTTCTTTTCGTGTGATTAACATCACCCCGTTCCTTTACCATTCTGTGGTGACATCACACACAAAAAATGGCTACTAGAAAAGGTAAGCGCACTCATAAAGTTAATCCTTTGGATTCTGTCTGAGTTGATATCTCATAGTCCAAATAATAAGCATTCACTGAATATACGGTAGGCACATAAGTTGTTATCTTTCCGCAGATGACAGGAGGTGCTTGCACCGCACAAATATGCATTGAAGTTCTACATTCTCTTGACATTTGACTCTTCCTGTCAGGTTTATCTAGCCATTTACACCCAAAAGACAGCAGGTTGGTATTACCAGCCTTCAGTATAAGGTAATAGTCAAAGAGATGGTGCCAAAACCTCTTTGGTTAGTTTTTATGACAACAATGCAATTGATCATCAATGGTAAGTCTTTTTTTGATTTTAATAAAGTGTTATGTTCAAACACTCTATTTTTACTTCATTATTTCACACTTTACAAATGGATCACAGTAAAAATGCATGTCCTCAGATTGATTATTTGTTGAATGTCGGCTTGCCAAGACATGTGGTTTTGAGGAGTGTTTGTTGTATTGTTGAATTGAATAGTGTTAAATACTGTAACTATAATGAATGGTTTATCCGTGTCATTAATCACAGGAAAAAAAAATTCAAATAAATATGGTTGTACTTTGAATTGTGTGGATGCACAAATAGCATGCAGTTTTTTTAAAAATAAATTACGATTTCATCAACACTTGATCAGAAATCACTCAGATTTGAAAGAGGAGATGTGAGTGACTGACGACCACTCTGGGGTGCAGTCTGCTTTTCACCCAAAGGCTTGTGGGATAGGTTCTGGCTCCACGTCACCCTGAACAGGATCCGTGGTATAGAAAATGGATGCTGGGCTCCAGCCTTCTTGTGTGTGTAGTTTGTACGCTCTCCCCATTGCCCATGTGGGTTTTCTCCAGGTATTCCTCCCACATTCCAGAACTGCCCACGTTAGGTGTATATGTGAGATTCACTTGTGAATTAACTGTTTGATACTGCTAGCAAAGTTGCCTCTATCCTACTCTTGCTTTTACAGTTGAAGTCATTTTGCATTAACTATGCTTCTGTTGCACTCACCTGCTTTGATTTCGAGATTTCATGTTCCTTCATTTAATTTCTAGTCCAATCGATGAACGATAAGTATACTATTTCATGTTGTGTTTTTACACAAAAATAATTGAATTTCACCGTCATTTCTTTAGTTACAGAGTAAAGGTCACCTATGAGTCCTAGAAATATTCGCTTTTTTGGAAACAATTTCAATAAACCATCTTGTAGAAGAGGAGAAACTTGGAAAATTCAAGATTAGTTTCAGAAGTTTGCATTTATTTAAAAGAGGAAATATTAATATGCAGACATGGTATGACCTTTTCTCCAATCATTGCAAACTCCAGAATATTGCAGCATCAACCATCCATCCATTTTCTATCGTGCTTATCCTCATTAGGGATGCTAATGAGCCTATCCCACTTTGGGCAACAATCAGGGAATACGTGTGACTCATCAGCAGTCAGGCACGGGGCACATATAGAGAAACTAGCATACACATATTATACAGAGGTTTCCATTATCTATTATTAATTGTACAATCTTAACTTAACCATAACAATCCAAACATATTAAGCATTCACATCGTGTTGATGTCTTGGCATAAGGCAGGGCAGCTTGATATAGCTATGGCACATTTCATACACAAGGTAACTCAATTTCCTTCAAACAATTACATCCACAACATTTTAGAGCATTTACAAACAACAGAATGAAAGACATTTGGAAGCAAACTAAAGAAAACGTACCTTACTTAAATTACTTATGGCTAGGTGGGGTCATAAAAAATACAAAATTTTTGTTCAACAACTGGAATCCACATTTTGTGTATTCTGTCTCATGCGCAGGCCGCAGCCGAGCACAGGTCACAGTGATCCAAGGCCACGATGTCACCCTTCAATTCACATTTAACATCAACATCACTAACAACAACCATTTTGCAGTTTACGTTGAGGGCGGCAAAAAGAAGGCAGAGCACTGTCCTTGGAAAGGTTGCTCAAGAGAACGTGGTTTTGACATTTACTCTGAAAAGTCTTCGGTATTTTGCCAAATTACAAACCTCACACAAGGTCACAGCGGAACATACAGTGCCAGGCTGTTCTCAAAAAGTGAACCAACTAAAGAAAGTAATAAAGTTCACCTGATCGTTCAAGAGGAGAAGAGCAACAACAGCGGTAAGCCTTTACACCCAAAGCATGATATGTTTCATAAAATGAGGTAATATTATTTTCCTTTTTCCATGTAAAAAGTCATTTTCTACATACCTGCTTCAGAAATATCCAACCGAGTAGAGTACAGTAGACATTAAAAAAAAAAAAGAAATAGCGAGAATTTATTCCACATCAGTTTCACCATTTCCTTTCCAACTCCCACAGTTTTACGTGCACAGGAGAACAGAAATACAACCAAATATCCACCGAGCTTTTTTTCCAGTGTAACCAACACTTCACTTGTGGTTTTACCTGTCATCTCATTCGCTGCAACATTGCCCTGGTTCTTCTGCTGTTGTGTCCGAGCTCGAGGTATGGACTTGATTCACTTCATTTCTTCAACCAATTTTATTGTTAGTTTTCAAATGGAAAAGACTACAATGGGGTGAGTGAATTTTGTCCAGCCAGTGTGGCTTCAGTTCCAATCAAGGGATGTTGTGAATATGAAGGTGAATGTGAATGGTTGTATATTTACAGTATATGTGAGTAGGTCGAATGATTTTTTTTTTTTTTTTTTTTTGCTTGATGTTAGCAGGAATGGGGTCCAGCTCATCATAACTCTAAACAATATACAGTGATTGGTAGAAAACAAAAAGATGACTGCCAAGGACTTTATAACCTTTTGATGCCTAAACATACGTCATTGCAAATGCCGTATCTCACCCAACAATGCCGCCCGTCCCCCCAAAAAACAGAATTAAAAAAAGTGGCCAGGGGGCCCTAAGCAGCCACTTAGTTTGTTTATGGCCTGCACATGTAAAATTATTTTCGGTAAGGCTATGACAGGCTGATGCAGATAAAACTGGCCATCAATCACACCATTGTTTATTTATGCTTTTAACGTCCCAGTGCGAACAACATTAATATTTTAACACAAAAATAGCTACCAGGATCAAATTAATTAAAATAATAATAATAATGGGAGGCCCGGTAGTCCAGTGGTTAGCACGTCAACTTCACAGTGCAGAGGTACCGGGTTCGATTCCAGCTCCGGCCTCCCTGTGTGGAGTTTGCATGTTCTCCCTGGGCCTGCATGGGTTTTCTCCGGGTACTCCGGTTTCCTCCCACATTCCAAAAACATGCATGGTAGGCTGATTGAACACTCTAAGTTGTCCCTAGGTGTGAATGTGAGCGTGGATGGTTGTTCGTCTCTGTGTGCCCTGCGATTGGCTGGCAACCAATTCAGGGTGTCCCCCGCCTACTGCCCGAAGACGGCTGGGATAGGCTCCAGCACCCCCCGCGACCCTAGTGAGGATCAAGCGGTTTTACCGTTTCCCTTGGAGGGCCGTGATGATTGAAACTACATAAAGTCAAGAATAACGTTTTATTCAACTATTGTTTAAGTAACTATAATGAAGGGTTTGATAACAAGAAAATGCTTACAATATATCACCGATTTATTACATATGAAAATTTGAAATTTTGGTACACATTTTAGCAAGTATCATGGAAGGTGTCATCTTTGATTTGCTTTCGTGGGCCGCTTAAAATGATGTGGCGGGCCACATCTGGCCCCCGGGCCTTGAATTTGACACCTGTGCTCTAAATTGTCCCTAGGTGTGAGTGTGGGCGTGGATGGTTGTTCGTCTCTGTATGCCCTGCGATTGGCTGGCAACCGTTTCAGTGCCTCCCGCGCCAACTGCCCGAAGACAGCTGGGATAGGCTCCAGCACCCCCCGCCACCCGAGTGAGGATAGAGCGGTTCGAAAAATGAATGAATGAATTATTATTATTATTATTATTGTTACTATTTTTCATTAAGATTTGGGGGTGGGCAGTCACATGCATCTTGGTGGGTGGGCACCGCCCCGTATAGCCCACCCATAGGGACGGGTGTGATGGGCAGCATCTATGTCAAGAAATGATTAAGCTGCATGATAAAAGGCTCAAAAATGCAAAGCAAAGTATGGGATGAATGATGAACGGTGACTGACATGCTACATTTGTTTGATTCTTCTTAAAGAAAGCTTCCTTTTGTGTTCACTTTCACTGAGAAATCGAAAACCTCGCCTTTTACGCTCACGCTTTTTGAATGTTTCTGCTATACTTGGGTCTCCAAACCGGCTCTGTGACCTGAAAAACAATTTAGACTCAGAGAGTATAAACATGTAGATGGCAAACCACATGTCCTCATTACCAGAGGAATTTAAAACCTCACAAAAATATATAAACAATGCATTCTTTACCTCGATCATATCACGTGCCTTTAGCTGCCCAAGATAAAATTCATCAACAATTAACAGAACAAATTCCAAAATTACAAAGTAATTAAAAAAATCATCTCAAATCACAGAATATCATTGTAATATGCAAATATCATGTAAATATAATATGGACAGTTCAGAAATTATATCAAAGCAATTTCATTGGAAGCATTTGTCAGGAGTTTGCGGCAACAATATAATGAAGTTTCTGTCTATATTTTCCAATAAACTTTTCTAAAAAAAAAAAAAAATCCCGTGATGGATTTTGGTTGCAATTTGGAGGAAGATTTTATTTTTCAGATGACATAAATTAGAGATATGATTTGTCCCCTTCAAAATATAGAATCTTCAATAGAAGAATAAAACATAGATATTAGAGATTCAAAATATAGAATCTTCAATAGAAGAATAAAACAAATATTTTTGGCAAACAACCATAATCTTGATTTCTGGCAGTTAGTCTTCAATTTGTAATCAAGGAAGAAGAGATGACCTGCAATGCATTGTAAATATGTTCAATAACAATAAACAAACAAACAAAATAAATACTTTATGCAGTAGATCATCAACAGACTGGTTTTAGGCTCTTATGTTTTGGTTTTGGCGCAAATTAAAAATAAAAGACACCAAGGCTTAGCTCAATGATAGAAATCATTTTTTAAATAGGAAGTCAATCCCCAAATTTTCTTTATCCATATACCGGTGCATCTCAGTAAGTTGGAATATCATGGAAAACTTTTTTTTTCCAGTGGGTCAATTCAAAAAGTACAAATTGTATATTATATAGATTCAGTACATCCCAAGAGAAATATTTCACAATTTTATTTCCGTGTAATTTTGATGACCGGCGCGTAAAGGTGAATAAAAAAAAAAAAAAATTAAACTCTCTCAAGAAATCAGATTATTATTATTGGAACACTGTATAAGAAACAATCCAAATTGAATCAAAAAATTAGGCAGGCATTGGCCATCTGAAAAGTATTTTCCTGTTTAATTAATCTGTATAATAAAAGTTTGACTTTTTGAACCTACATGATTTTTTTTTCTCCATTGCACTAATTTATGAAGATGCACCTGTATAATTCTTGTCTGTGCATTTATGGTCACCAATTACTTTCGTGATGAAAGTTTACTGATTTGCTCAACTTTTGTTCTATTTCAGCCAATAAAGCCCGAAAAAAACCCTCACCCTCAACACAGGTGAGAACACATTCTGTTGTCCGAAACATTTCAAGCAGATGCTCATGTTTCACTTTTGTTCTCTTAGGTAGCATGTGTGGCGACTAATATCATGCCAGAAGCTGATTTAGCCTACAGTGTCCTGGACTTCCCTAAAAGAGAGGCTACGCTGCCGGACAGCAAGCCAAATGATAGCGAATATGTCCATAGTCATATCATAGTTTAAGCACAGGTCTATGATCGTAAGCAAAAGTTGGGAAAATGTACTGCACCTAAATACAGTACAGTAAATGTATATAATAAACTTAGTATTTGAATAGATAAATGCTTTACTCTGTTAAAAATCCTTATAAAAGAAGAAATATGTTCTCTTTAAAGAAAGCTATGATCATTTGGGATTTTACCGTGTTTAAATTTACAATCTATACAGCACTGTTTGTACAACGACACTGAAAAAAAAATAGTGGATTGGATTTTATTGTGTGCAACCACCTGACGAAATGAATTTGAGTAAATATAACACACTGGGGTTTTTTTCAAGTGTACATACAGTCCATGATAAGTCTGAGAAGGCGGGGAGTGTTAACAAAGTTTTACTTTTATTTTCTGTTATGGTTTCCGCATGGTAAAATGGTGGTTAGCGCGTCTTACCTCACCGTCAGACCTTTGCAACATCACTGCGTGAATTTCATATGTTCTCTCTGTGCGGACGTGAGTTTTCGATAGTTTCCTGCCACATCTCAAGAGTGTGCTTCTTTGGTTATTTGACGTTGAATAAATGTGAATAGTTGTTTGTCTTTTAAGACCGTGTGATTTACTGGCAATACAGGGGTGGCTCCAGAAAGTTTCACTGAGGGTGACAAATGGTTGGCAGGAAGGTTATAACTTTCCCACGTTATAGAACCACAACATTTCAATCAAATGTGGTTTACCTTACCACTATCTATTTACGTCTTTCTTACAACATATCATCATGCAGGTGAAGATTGGAAAGAAAAACAGCCTATTTTGACAAATTAAGGAATGGAAAGTACAGCTATGTGTTTTAAAATATATTTAAAGTACAATACAAGAAAAAGAAAAATTTAAAAGTAAGTTGTAGAAGAGGCGGCCCGGTGAACCAGTGGTTAGCGCGTCGACCTCACAGTGCAGAGGTCGTGGGTTCGATCCCGGCTCCGGCTTTCCTGTGGGGAATTTGCATGTTCTTGTGGGTTTTCTCCGGGTACTCCGGTTTCCTCCCACATTCCAAAAACATGCATGGCAGGCTGATTGAACACTCTAAATTGTCCCTAAGTGTGAGTGTGAGCGTGAATAGTTGTTGTCTCTGTGTGCCCTGCGATTGGCTGGCAACTGGTTCAGGGTGTCCCCCACCTACTGCCCCGCGACCCTTGTGAGGATAAAGCGGATCGGAAAAATGGATGGAAGTTGTAGAAGAAAACAAAACCGAAGCTGGGACAACTCTCAGGTTATTTGGTAACTACATTGCAGTTGCAAACTTTCAACCGGCTCTATGTCGCTACTCAATTAGCTATCTTTCCATTTCACATCACAGTCGCGGAGTCAGTGGCTTGGTCAGCCTCGGTGTTGACCAGTGATCACATACGTAAGGATTTAAGATTATCAGTAATGAACAGGTTTAACATGTCTGATTGTCAGGCTCTTGATGACTTTGATAGTAAGTGGGGAATTGGGCTCAAATTGGCTTGATTATTGCTACACTATGTGTACCCAATTTAACCTGTCTTGTTATATCAGGTTTACTCTGACGGAAAAGTAAACAGGTCATGGTGTACTCGTCCCCTCACGAGTCATCTTGGAGCTAATATAACCCACTGTCTTAATTGTTGGTATGGCAGAGAGGGGATTTTGCAACATGAGGTGAGATCAGAGAGCATTGATCAACTTAACAGACACTGCTCTCTAGTGGTTGTCAAGTACAATCCTGTGATGGAACTAATACCACATGGATGCCTCGCGCCATCCCAAGTGCCAAAGTGACAGCATTGAAAGTCATACGCGAATGAAATACTGCATTATCCTCGAGAACACAGGTACGTAAAGTCACTCATCTATCTTATCAAGCTTCAAACCAACAAGATGTCTTCATTAAAATAACTTCTTTTAATGACTAAAAAGTTTTCTCTGTTGTCCTGACTGATTTACCAACCTACATTGACAGTGACACTAACCAATATTTCCGGTTGTTGAGGAAAGCTTTTAAGGTGAGCAAACAAAAGTTGTTCAAAATACTGAAAAAAAACCCCCAAGTGTCCACTTTCTTTGTGAAAGTGTGTCTGCCTGCATGCTTGTGTGGGTGGTGTCACAAACACATATGGAAGTTGCCAGCATAGCACACAAACGGTGCCTTTTTGAGAAGGTATTGGTCTGCTGACACGTGTGGGTTTCGTCTGCACCTCGCTGAACCTCACAGACCTGAAACCTGTGACATTTCTGAGAAATAGATCTGGGTTATGTGAAAGCAGGTTAAATGGCACACCTCTTTCATGCACCCGCAGAGACACACACACACACACACACACACACACACACACACACACACACACACACACACACACACACGCAGACACACACACACGAGAAATGCTTCCTGAAGCTAATTGGAACTGATGGAAATTTTGCGCTTGATTTTACTCCTCCGATACATTGCTGCATTGCATATGTTCACTGCGGGTTCCAGCAATGGTAAATGAACATGAACGTAAATGCTATTCATTTATTCTTCTGGAAAATTTCTGACTGATCCTGAAATCATTTCTGAAATGTTTTGCCAAAAACGGTCAGAATGCGAGGCTCCGTCAAGTCCTCAGTGCTTCAGAAGAAACAACGAGTCAAATGTTTACGACTGTGAATGGAGCATGAAAACAACACATAGAGATGTGACATTTGTCCTCCACTTGGGGTAAGAACTTAACTAAGTCATTTATGAGTAAATGTTGATGTTAGGGATGAGCATTTGACTAAAATGGAAACAATTGAAAAATAATATGCTATCAATCATTCAAATGGTATTTGTTGAATTTTTTTTTTTTTTTAGAGGAATAGCAGGAGCGCTGAATGTTATGATACCTGTCAGTGTAGTTTGGAACTGCATCCTTTATAATACTGCTTGGAGGCACCATGAGTGTACTGTACAGTGATACCTTGACATACAAGTTTATTTTGCACCGTGACAGAGTTCATAACTGCATTTTCCCATTGATCAAGTTTTCCCCCCCGACTGAAATGAATTGACTTGTCATTAATCTGTTCCGACCCCAACAAAACAATTTGTTGCCACATGTACAATGAAAACTAGGACTACTGCATTGTAAAATGTGAATGTAAAAATATGTTTTTTAAAAAAGAATCGAAAGAAAGGATCTGATTTTCATGTATTTTAACAAATTGTGCGTACACACACTGCCATAATTGTGTGGGCCTTCAAAGGGGCGTGGCCAAGTGAATGACTGAATTTTGACTCCAGCTTGCGGTGGCGATTTCCCATGCGTTTAATTCAACATGAGGGTCTTTGCCATTCTCCTTGGAGTGTTTTAATTTTTGATTTGTGTGTTTCACTATTTGTTCCATTCGATAAACAGCTAAAAGTGCATCACCGACTTTTTTTTTTAAATGTCTTTTCTTTTTTTTTTCACTTGAGTGGCGGCTTATCTACTGTAAAATTTCACAAGTTGGGGCACTCGTACAGGTATTACAGTACTGCATGTTGAATGCAGAATCAAGCACCTATGCTGGTTGTAGCCAAGAAGTACATGCCATTTTGCCAGAAATGATGATTTGCTGGAGAATTGATTTTTGAATTGCTTGCATATAAATAGTTTTGTCTAAATTGTTTCTCCACCCTACATGTGCAAAATGGCCACATAAATCATTTGTCATCAGCCCCTTTCTGGACATGAGAACTTCTAATCCACTGTTGCGAGGCTAATTTAGATACAGTAATGACTAATTCCGAGTTTCTCTAGTCTAGGATGGTCAAAGATCCAGCTACTTTCAAATGGCAGCCTACGCTGTGTGAAACTATTTAGTTGGACACACAGATTAATGTTAGCTTCTGTTAAGCAGCATGGCTCGGTGAAATTGTCAACCCAGTAGGAGTTTTTTTATTGTTGGTGTGTGGCCATCCATATCCTCCTATCCCAAGAACATGAGTGGTTTTCTTGTCTGTATACTTGAATTTATAGTGACATAACATTTGAGAGCATTCGAGAGACGCACGCTCAGATCCCTGAAGAAAGGCTCATCAAATATCGACGTATTGACATTTGGGTGGAAGCAGACAAAGGAGACTCTGTTTGCAAGTCAACCAAAACCTCTCTTGTACTCAATGAAACAGGTGAGAAGAGTCTATTTCAGGTTGGTATGAAATCCAGTACAGTATTTGGGGGTAGACAAAACTTGGGATGGCTACGACAATACTTTATGGCATCCCGGGGGTTCCATTCACTGGAGTGTGTTTTAAAATGTGTCACCGGACTGAGAAGAAAGCAAAATACAAACGCATGCCAAAAACAAATCTGTATTTGCAACAACAACAAACAAACAAAAACAGGTAAGTCCACAAAAAAAAAAAAAAAATGTCGCAGTGAAGCCATGTTGCCTTGATTACAATTCTCTTAGCAAACAACTGAATTTTGCTCCTCATCAACAGTTAAATTTGAAGTACCACAAGACATTTCAGTAGCCTGGTTTCAAAACCAGCTCAACGTGACCTGGAAAGCTGCAGAGAAATACCCGGCCTTCGCTGAGGTCTGGTTTCGAATAGATGAAACCAAACCATGGGAAAAGGTTCTTGTTTTTGTCAAATCCTGTATGTCCAATTTACATGTTTTCTAATTGTAATACCCATTTTATTCTTTTTCTCCTGCACAGAGACTGAACACCACAGAGTTCAGGCACAGTCAGATGGCATGTGAGTATTCCTTGTGTAGTTTCTTCTATATTTTGGATAGTGAATCATTTCTTTTTCCTTTCTTGTACAAAACCAATCATATTTGTTGCAAAAATATCTTTGTAAGTCAAAATATGTCATCACAAGTTTGGGAAGGTATACCTGGAAGATCAGTACAATAGCTTCATCTTTCGTCCCTCTCCAATAGATTCATTTTTGGTAGTTTGTCGGACGAATGAGGACTGACATGAAATGACCATTAGCGGTGACTAGAGATACTCAAACAAAGATATTTGAAAAGATCAAGTTGATTTCTCCATGACTTTATTGTATTCCCTCAAAAGACCACTTAGCTGTTGAGAACCTGCAGAAGCATACATCCTACCAGGTTAAGCTCAGACATCGGACCAAAGTGACTCGCAACCCGCTGTGGAGCGAATGGTCTCCACTCGTGATTGTTCCTGCAGGTGACATCACTGTATCTCTTTATACCGTCGATAGTTTAGCTGAGTGTGGTTCACTAAATCAGACATTGAAGCATTATTTTGTTCATTTCAAAGAGGCACAGGCCGCTCACCGTCATTTGGTTTTCCACTGCAGCGCTTGAAGATAAGCTGGAGGTTAATGTGACATTGGAACACTTAGAAGGTGCGCGGAAGGTTACGCTCATGTGGAAGGTAAGCCAAACTTTTGATGAACACAAAAATTGACTAAGACAGATAGTAAGTGTGGATATGGGCTGGAGTCATATGTGGCCAATGTCCTCCCCCCCAAAATCTTCTAAATACACTGTTTTCCAAAATATTATGTTTGTTCTGAAGGAATTAATTTAAACCACCAAACATTCAAAGTTTTGAATTACTGATCTGTCTTCTGGGGTGACTGAACCATGCGAGGAATGACAACACTTGACATTTCGAGATAATTATTTTGCTGTTAAATCATTTGCGTTCTAAGACTCAAAAGAACAAACAGTTTTTTTCAGACAAAGTCATTTCAAGGACCATTTCTGTAAGGCTAAAGTGTCATAAGAGAGCAACGGGCATACCTTGTCCGGGACGAGTGGAGCAGCCCACAGCCATAAAACTCTGCCAAAAACTGCCTAAATCTGCTTAGAACTCACCAAAGCGGCAATGTACTGATTAATAACAGAGCATCCAGAAATCATTTGAAGTAGATTGAGTGGCAGGATTTGATTGGGAACTTGTATTTGGCTGCAAATGAGTCCAGTAAATCCACACTGTCCGTGTACTTGTGGCAACCAACAATGTAGGGCCTCTCCACCTCAATCGTTTTTCTGGTGACTTTGTCCCAGCGCTGAATTTTCTGCACAAGGTCTGGACTGGCAATGGATGACACAAACGACCCGCCAATTTTCAGATCCTGTTTTTCTGTCTCCTCTCCTAATTAGGTAAACACTCAAGAAAAATAGTCAAGGATCAGCTCGCTACAAAGTCAGAAAACAACTACAAATATACAAAGTGTTTCAAATACTACAGGGAGTTTAAAATACCACAAACGCATATTTTGAGATTCATGAATAAATTATGGTCTAAGCTTGGCAACCTTAGACAAGAAAAGCACATTTTGAACATAGCTACACTGAATCATCAAAATATTTGGGCTTTATGCTACATTCATTTAAATATACAGTATAAGCATGTAAAAAGTGCAGAGGCCTTAGGACACAGGTGTCAAAGTCAAGGCCCTGTGGCCAGATCTGGCCCACCGCATCATTTTATGTGGCTCGTGAAAGCAAATAAAGCATGTTAAGTTCCATGATGCTTGCTAAAGTCTGAACCAAATTTTCAAATTTTCATATGTAATCCACAATAATAGTCATTATTCTTGATTTCTGATTTTAAAACTTATTATTCGTGAATTTGTTGTGCACTGTGTAGGTAATATGTAGAGTTCATTGAACATTTATGTGGTTTCCCAAAATTAAAAATGGCCCTCCAAGGTAAACCGTAACTACACTATGGCACGCGACAAAAATGAGTTTGACACTCCTGCCTTCGGGAATGTATCAGGTGTACAAGCTATTTTGGCTACCACTAAGTCCCAACGTTGCAGCCATGCAACATAGACACAAAAAGCTGTAATTGAAATTTGATGAATGTTTTCCAAAATGTCTTAATGTCTCCATGTTCTGGACATTACAGTTAAACAAATATTGTCAAGAAATTTTACTCACTTGAATCTTGAACAACCCAGTTGTTTAAAACAAGGAGATGAGCACCTCTGGAGAATTGCTGACAGTATGACTTTTACGGCCAGATGACCTACTAACGAATTTACTAACGCTTCTTCCAACCGACAGCATTGTGAGGACAAACCAAATTCACTTGCGTGAATGTGGTTTGGAGAAAAAAAAACCAAAACATTTGCATATCCTATTTTAAATGTGCTAAAGGTGATGTATTCTTACAAGTTGGATCTTACAAGGTAAGTGTAACTGAGCTGCACTCTGTTTCTAGCCAGTTCATCATGAAGCAGCAGTAACTGGAGTGACATACATCCTGAAGGACACGCAATCTTCCGGAGGATGCCCGTGTAAGAAGAAGACAACCCATCTCACCGACAGGACTGAATATACAGGCTATATTTCCTACTCTCCGGTCAACTTCTCCATGATTGCCACAAACAAAGCAGGCTCCTCTCCCACAGCCATCATACATGTACCAGCTGAACCCGCTCCCAATTTAAAAGGTACTATTTACAAAGTCGGCTTGGAATTGAGCGCCGCATATACTGTATACTGTAAGGACAAATGTGTTGGGACATGTAGCAAATATACCTACAGGAAGTGAAAATCAAGACAATTTTGTTATTCATCCAGAAGAACATGTATGCTCTGAAAAATGTCCGAGCTCACCATCTCTGTTCTAGTTCATCCCAGAGGTCTTTGGGTGAAGGTTGAGGTCAAGGTTCTGTGACTTTTTCCATCATGCACTGAGACACTGTTGGGAATCTACCTGTATAGTGGCTCTGCAATTTTGCACACCCATGTGGAACAGCATTGCCGCAATAATCATTGTAGCTCCAGCTCTGTACTTACTTGAACCATTCTCACCGATCTCTATTCCACAGCACCAGACACTTTAAAGCACTCAAGGACTTCTGTACAATTGCACACTTAAACTTGCTCAACAAATACTGCTACTGGTCACTTTAAAATGGTGCAATGATTATCTGCACCAACTGCACAACTGTTATAGTATTGTATTCTACCAGTGATCACGTTAGCCCCGCTTGATACTTTGCACATTGTCTCACAGCTGTCATTAGGTGGTACTCCCGCACAACGGTACCCTTACATTACGGAATGTCTTTCCATACTTAGTTGTCATGTCCTTGTTTATCGTAGTTGCTTGTTATTGATGATACTAGGGTAGCCTGTTGTTGCAGCTCCGAACCAGAGCTGTCGTGTTGGTTTTTAAAATATGCACTTTATTAATTCGTGAAACACCTAAGAGAATACAGACACGCCTCTGTTGGACTACGTGCCTTTTTTTAACTGCCGTCCAACTCGAGAGACGTTAAGGGCCGCCTCTGAAAAAACGTAAATTAATGATTACTCCACAGGCACTCGGAAAAGCGATAATAATGCAACAAAACAGAAAATCAAGTGAATAACATAAACAGTCTCCTACACTGTGCTACCAGAGACAAATTCCTTGTGTGTTCTATATACGTGGCCAATAAATATGATTCTGATTCTGAATATGTGCAGAAGGGGCATTAGCCCAACTCTGATTAATTGACTAATTAATTTAGAGGTGTGTCCCAATACTTTTGTCCATCGTAGACAGTATGCAGAAAAGAGTCTAAATGTTGTCGTTCCTATTTTTCAGCTTGTAATAAAACATTACTGGATGAAAAACTGAACAAGACCAACTGCCTCGAATGGTACAGGCTTCAAGATGGAGACTTGAGGCTAGTGGCAAGGAAGACTAAAAGAGACATGAACGCCTTTAGAAAAAGTAAGCGGTGGTTAAAGACACAACACTGTGTTTCACACAGGACTAAAAACAAAAACAAGACATACATAGTTCCTGTAAGTGATACTGTTGGTAGGATGATGCTGTAGTTCATGACTAACGATTCCCACAAACAGCACTGGCTATAAACTAAACGAGATCGGAAGCAAATGATTCGACACTTTTTGTCAACTCATTATACTGTGTGTCATTGCCTTACAGTACCTGGTAGTTATGTCTCATACATCTGTTTGACTGTTTGTATTTCTGTTCTATAGGTATCAAGGACTATGTGGGTTACATTTACTTTGAGCACCTGTGCATTAACGAGAGGCCAAAGACAGTTCAAATGTGCCTCTATTATAAAAAAGAAAATGGTAGGTTGATTTGAGCTTGATTGCTGCAATTATGGCTTACCAAATGCTTGTGAATACTGTATTTGCAATTATCTGGGTCATTTCATTATTCGGGTATGGAATCGTTTGGACAGTTTTTTTTTTTTTTTCATTCCCAAAGAATGATAGCGTTCGTGGTTTGGGGCGTGCCTCCAACTTGGAGTTTAAATAGTTGGGGTTTCCACATTAACTTAGTCTGGTGTGGTCCCAACCAACCTTTGTTTGTTTGTTTGAACTGATGAGGCCATCTTCTAAGACATCCACAGTAGTTCTGTTATAACTGCTCAATGCCCCGAGAATATTTACCTTTGTTTGTGTATCCTACTTTATGCGAGGAAGGAAAAAACACTTTCCTCCATTGACATTAATTGCTTATTTGTCATCCTCACAATAATATTCTGGATTGTTTTTAAACTCAACCTGTCTTCATCCCTTCAGTTCCAAAAATAGCTCCCCAAGACTTGTTGGCCTTCAATGAAACACATAGTTCCGTCACACTGTCTTGGAATGCCATTCCCACAGAGGACAGGCGAGGTGTCCTCACACACTACAATGTGTGCAGTGTGCAATTAAGTTCTAATGATGAGCACAAACGTAAGTACTTGACTGACATGACCCCATAAGTTCACTGCACATTCTCTTGTTTCAAGATTTTCTAATTGTGCCAGTGTATATATACATATTTTTTCTAACCTCCTTTGATTTCAGAATGTCACCGTGTTCCAGCTTCGGTGGCCATATACCGTCTGGAAAATTTGATGCCAGTAACAAAATACAACATCACTGTAGCTGGAGTGACAAGCGCTGGAGAAGGTCCAAAGGCCACAGTAACTCTCAACACGCAGCTAATTAATCCGATGACAGGTATCGGACCATGCATTCACATACTGTGTTATGTAACTCAATGGAGTTGGTTTTCTAATATTGCTTTTTTTTTTCTCACCAATAGAATGGTTGACATTTGGCTTGGTTATGGCATTCCTGTTTATCTTTCTTTTAATGGTGTGCTCGTGTATCTGGAAAAGGTGGGTGAGCCATGCTTTACACAGAGTACATTTTAATGTCATCTAACTTGATACGTGAACAGATTGTGTTCAACTTTGAACGTTCTGCTGTATCTTAAAAAAATGATTGAGCATTAATCAGCTAACATAATGTTTGTTCCTTATGTTCAGAATGAAAAAGAAGATACTTCCTCCACTACCAAAGCCTCCTATTTTGGAGTTTGCCTCTCAGCAAACAATGAATCCGGTAAATCTGTTTCTATTTATGGAAATGTTTATTTTATTTGTGTTATTTTGATTTATTTTATAACCTTAACCAACTGAATCAACTTTGCAGTGACGGTGTGTATAAAACAGAAGGGGAATTTGAAAACCACTTGTGTGCATGTGACTGTGTGTGACATTTTAAGACGACTAATTTCAAAAGTGAGAAGGGAGAAGCCAGTTAGAAATGGTTTTTATGTTGATGTATTTCAGGAAGGCGGACAAAGGTAAAAAAAGTCCCTTCCATTGCTGAAAGATGATGTGAGACATCTGTCAATTATGGTTTTGACTTAGGAAGCTGAACAGACTCTCAATGAACATTACTCATGGGACAAACAAGAAATTCTTAAGAAGGGGAAAAAACGATGAGGCAAAAGTTGATGCACCCAACGTATGATCCTCTGATATCCTGACCCATAGCAGGAAATGCTGGAGGAGAAGGAGGAGGTGGTGACCCTGCAGCAATTGCACCCAAAGGATCCAGTGGAGACCACCATGCCGTTAAACATTGATATCGAGAGGCCAAGAGTGTCTGATGGGAGGAGGGACGATGCTCTGAGCCCTTCTTCTATTCAGCAAGCACTGAGGGGTTCCAAAGAGGAGGAAATGCCAGATCAGGAAGAAGAACAGATGCTTGCCTTGCTGCTCTACAGAAACAGATTGGTCTTTGATATGAACACAGACTAGTGTTAAATTGCTGAATAAGCGACGTTCTGTTTTTTTTACACTGATATAATGTTCATTAGCTCCAGAAGTTTTCAATCATTGTCTTATTTGCCTTTAGTGTATGTGTCACACCACCTCATTTTCTAACCACAGAACCCCGTCAAAAATCAAATATGTCGGGACCAAGAAGAGGTGGAGCCATTTGTCACTGTTCTGTATATTTTGAATAAATACTTGAGTGGAATCAATCAATTCTGAGCAAATAAGAAAGGGAGCTGGGGAAGGGCACATAGTCTTTTCGGGGTCTTGCCCTGGTCCCACACTTTGCACCTATTTGCCTTGGGTGACCCTACCAGGGCATAAAGCCCACAACAACTTCTAGGATCACTGGGATATACAAACCCATTCACGACTAAAAAAAACTACATACCATAGCATCTCTGATTTAATATATAAATATGTAATCGTGTTTCCTGCTGTACCGTTTTCCTATACAGTAGTTGCACAAACAAGACCCCGTGATACCTCATTTGGCCACAAGGGGAACCGATGAGCATCCTCAATTTACCGTCTGTTTCGATTTTACGGTGAAGAAGAATGTCATCCATGTTGTGAACGTGAGAAAAGCACGAGAGGCTGTCACATCTGGAGCAAAATTTCCCGTCCTTTTCGTATTTGTTCGTTACTCACGCGTATTTCTCGTGAGATAAATACAAAATGAGTGACTTTTCGTCGCTCGGGCTCTCTGACTGGCTCATTAAACAGTGTAAGCAGTTGGGCATCAACAAACCGACCCCTGTGCAGGAAAACTGCATGCCAGCTATTCTAGAAGGTAAGACAACTACAAATACTAGCAAGCGTACATGTACATTTATTTCGGAACGTTTTGCATATTTACACGCTTACTTAAGACAAGGGCAAACCATATGTTTGTAACGTCAACCAGTGACGCCCTTATGAAAAGCAATTTCAATATGATTTATGGAATATCAACAGGACAGTACAATCAGTTCAGAAGAAAAGAAAATTGATCACAGTGTATTTATTTCAAACACACTTGACATTTACTGTTAATCGGACACCAAATAATTATGCACAATTTCTTTAATATCAGGAACATCCCAGAGCTGGTGTCTGCAAATATATATATATCATCCATCCATTTTCCGATCCGCCGATCCCAGCCGTCTTCGGGCAGTAGGCGGGGGACACCCTGAACCGGTTGCCAGCCAATCGCAGGGCACACAGAGACAAACAACCATCCACACTCACACTCACCTAGGGACAATTTAGAGTGTTCAATCAGCCTGCCATGCATGTTTTTGGAATGTGGGAGGAAACCAGAGTACCCGGAGAAAACCCACGCATATTTCTATGTATTTATATTTCAAACCACAATCTAGAAGTTTTTCCCTTCAAAAGTGTGTTTCCCTGAAGTGTAAAACCTTAACTCATTCCATGTCAATTCACACAAATCCCCAGAACCTCCCCAATAACACCTCTTTAATTTGCCCTCATGTTTATTCTAACAGTGCCTTATGGTGTCAAATGAAATCCGAGGTCTGAGGGCCCCAAATATGGACAAAATTACCATTTAGGACCCCCTAGTTTAGGCCACCAGTTGGCCGAGTAGGAACATGGTGATGGGAATGAGCTTTTTACGCCATCAAGAGTCACCTTTTATCTTTCACTAACCTACTCTAACCCACTAGTTACATCGTAATAAGAGTACCGTAACTATTCATGGGCCTTAAAACATAAGTACAGTTAAATGAAAACGGTAAGTTCGGCAGAAACTGTGAGTGCCTTGTTGGGGTGCCTGACAAGATATTCTTAAAATGTTGCATGTTGTCATGTCAGTAAACAGTGGAACCCCGAACAGTATTTTGTGTTTCTGCCACCTAGGTCGTGACTGTATGGGCTGTGCCAAAACTGGAAGCGGGAAGACAGCAGCATTTGTGCTTCCAGTGCTACAGAAACTGTCGGGTGACCCTTACGGCATCTTCTGCCTGGTGCTGACGCCCACCAGGTTGGTGCTGCTGGATCACACTTGCTGCTTCACTTTAGTGTCATTTCAGGGAATTATGTTTAAAAAAAAAAAATTTAAAGGCGACAACGTCCGCTTCAATTCGATCAGTCAGTAGGCTTGATTAATTGTTTATTTATTCCTGTCCCACCACCCACTTATTTGCTGACTTATTTTAGTGTGGAGATAAATTCAGTGCTCAACGTGCAGTTCGTATGTTTGCATATTGTTTCATGAAACATTAAAAGTGAAAGACAGCCACAGATTTTTTTTTTTTTTTTTTTGCATTGTTATTGTAATACAGTTCATGAATTATTGATGTATCTTTGCAGCACACTTGTTTGGTAGAATTTTTTTTGAGGTTGTCATAGTGAACTGTTAAAGTCGGGAGTTTCGAAATAGATAAACTGTCTTTTATCTTAATTCACGGTTTATTTGCCTTCATTTTAGTTTAAGCCTAACCTACAGGTCCAAAACCTTGATGTAAATAAGTTTCTTCTAGTGCAATGAATTAATTGCTTGTGTTTCTTAAAATGAAATACTAAAACGTTCAGCCCTAGTTTCACCACGTTTAGCATGTTGTCACCATGCACATGCCACCTGACACCAAATAATTGTGCTCATTAGTCTGCTAATCTCATGAGTGTCACTGTGTGGTGATGCAGGGAATTGGCATACCAGATCGCAGAGCAATTTCGAGTCCTGGGGAAGCCGCTGGGTCTGCGCGACTGCATCGTCGTCGGTGGAATGGGTACGTGCGCTGAGCGCGAGCAGCACTCCAGGCTCCAAACATGAAATTCATGGCGCACTTGGTTCACCAACAGACATGGTGAGTCAGGCCCTGGAGCTTTCCAACCAGCCTCACGTGGTCGTCGCCACGCCGGGCAGGCTCGCAGATCACATCCGGAGCTCCAACACCTTTAGCATGAGGAAGATCCAGTTCCTGGTGAGTTGACTGAAAAAAGATACCAGTCCTTGCCTTTAGTCAGCTGGTATTGGCTCCAGCTCAGCCACAACCTTGCAAGAACAAGCACTCACAAAAAAAAAAAAAAAAAGTGTATCGATGCTTCATATTGACATGTTTGTCCTGCTTTGTGACATTTTGTCCGACAGATCTTGGATGAGGCAGATCGGCTGCTGGAGCAGGGCTGCACAGACTTCACCAAAGACCTGGAGGTGATCCTCGGGGTGCTGCCAACCAAACGGCAGACTCTTCTGTTCAGCGCCACACTCACCGACACCCTGCAGGACTTGAAGAGGCTCGCCATGAACAAGCCCTTCTTTTGGGAGAGCACGTCCGAGTGAGCGTCCGGCAGATCACGCGGCGTGGCGGTACGTGACCACGCCTGTGGTAGTCCGCTACTCTACATGTCGCCGTTGTTCACAGGACTCGTACGGTGGAAGAGTTGGACCAGAGGTACATCCTGACTCCGGAGAAGGTGAAGGACGCTTACCTGGTCCACTTGATCCAGACCTTCACGGATGAGCATGACGACTGGTCCATCATTATCTTCACTAACACGTGCAAGTAAGACCTCTGACCTGATGGGCGGGGGGCACTTTGGCAAGATAGAATAACATTTTATGCGTCTATGCTTCTGAAGCTTCTAAAATGTGTGTCCTGTGTGATTTCTATTTTCAATTAGCCATAGAAAATCCGAGGCGTGGGGGGAAAAATCTTTTTTTTCCATCGGAGACAAAGTAAAAAAAAAAAATCACATTCAAGTTTTAGGTTCAGATCACAAGTCGAACTTACCTTTGCATCCTACCTTCCTTAGAGTTACATTTGTATGACAGTTAACAGGATTCAAATGCCCTTTAATGATCCTGTCCAGTTAGCTATCAAAGTTTTGCGTTGTTTGATGATTGCTTTGACCCTGAAATAGATTTTATTTGCGCCCTTACAATACTTTCGTATGGATGATTTTTCTCTGTGGTTGGTACAAAAAGATGTGTTTTTTATTTGCCGCAGGAGCTGTCAAATCCTCACCATGATGCTTCGGCAATTTGACTTCCCCACAATCTCCCTCCACTCAATGATGAAGCAGGTAAGCCACTCACTCACTGGAACAACCCTAAATGTAGCGTGTTAAAAATTGCATGGTGAGAGCTGTGAGGTGAACACTTACTTCTCTTTGCTCTCCCAGAAACAACGATTTGCCAATCTTTCCATGTTCAAGGCCAGCGTCTATAAAATCCTGATTGCCACAGACATAGCTGCCAGGTAAGAAACTCCCATAATATCACTTGGTGATTCATTCCAGTTTATTTGTCAGGCTCCTTTAATTGTTTTTTTATTTTATTTTTATTTATTTATTTATTTTGCAACATCTGTAGTTCAAATTGCTTCCCCACTGATGTGACAATATGGCTGCAAACAGAGAGGAGAGTGTCCGAAAGCACAGTGCTAAAAAACAATTAGCTGTATGTTTTAAGGGCAGTTAGCAAGTTAAATTTTCGCATATTTCACTACTTGCAGCTTGTAAGCTGCAGAATATGATTTTCTTTTCTGTGCGATTTTTGTTCAGCCCTTCTGAGTTGTTTTTATTCAGTACCGGTAGTATTATTTTAAGTTACCGCCAATGTTACAATCATCAACACAGGCCTAGCGCGGCCTCTTGCTGTTTCATGTAAAAACGTGAAATGATACAATAATGTGTTCGACACATAAGTCGCTCCAGAGTCCCATCTGGCTATACTATGCAAAAAAAAAAAAAAACAAACAAACAAAAAAAAAACTGCAACTTATGGTCCGGAAAATACGGTACTCACTCACCTTTGACTTTGCAACAGGGGCTTGGATATTCCAACTGTGCAGGTTGTCATCAATCACAACACTCCTGGCCTGCCAAAAACATACATCCACAGGGTGGGCCGAACAGCCAGAGCAGGTACTCACCAGTTCAATGCCTGGATGAATGCTCACCGGTTCCTCACGTTGTTTGACTTTCATGCCATGTTCTTCCTCTACAGGCAGGAACGGGGTGTCCATCACCCTGGTGACACAGTACGACATCCATCTTGTCCATGCCATCGAAGAACAAAGTCGTAAGTGGTTAATGAACAATCTTCACAAACTCTTGTTAGTCTCTAATAAAACGGGGGGATAACTGGTCAGTTGATGCCATCCTTTACATTACATTGTCGATGCAAGTAGATCTTCAATAGTTATGATTGTTCTCCAGAGACTAAAATGAAGGAGTTTGCAGTGGAGGAGAAAGAAGTCCTGAAGATCCTCACGCAGGTCAACGTGACCAAGCGAGAGTGTGAAATAGTATGCTCTTTCCTTCACTCGCTCCCACTGAATGCGTGGCAGTTTTCACCAGGATTAAATGTGCCATGGTCTGTCTCAAATGAAATGTTTTTTTTTTTTTAAAGAGACTGGAGTCTACAGACTTTGATGAGAAAAAGGAAATCAACAAGAGGAAGCAGATGATCTTGGAAGGAAAGGCAAGTCTTTTTTTTCTTCTTTGGAAATTAATAACTTTGTTTTAGAGTCACCCGTATGTTAAGATTGACAGTTGCACCGCTTCATACAATGTACATTCGTATTGTTTTGAAGTTCTTTTTGTGAATTTAAAAATGGTCTGGAGACTACTTTTAAGTTTCTGAAATTGAAATGTTTGTTTTTAGCACCTTTAGTGTAGAATTAGAAAAAATGTTCTTGGCATTGTGGAACAAGACACCTTTTGAGAGTGACTGATACATGGAGTATGTCGCCTGTACTTTGTGACGTTATCATTTGTCTGATTCCAGGATCCAGACATGGAGGCAAAGAGGAAAGCAGAACTGGAAAAGATCAGGAGCCAGAAGAGAAAGTTCAAAGAGCGGATCCAGAAGAACATAGAGGGACAGAAACGAGGAGAGCTCAAGCGGAAATTCAAGAGCAAAAATATCAAGAAAAAGACAAAACAAGGAACAGATTGACACTTGTTTGTTTTGATCTTTTATTACTGTGCAATACCAAATATTTGTGACTGTCTGCAAATCAACATGACATTTATTTTATACTATAAATGAAAGTTGTTTTTTGGCAGCATTCGATTCTATCACTTCACAAGAAATGAGACTGCACTTCATATTTACATCCGACTGTTGGATGACCAAGCGCTGCCTTTCGATGTTGACAACTGATGAGAAAGATCACAAAAATGTAACGGATCACTGCACTTTACACGATGCAAACACATTGGCTCTGATGACAGAATGTAAGCGGTTTATATATTTTAAGCTATTACATGTTAGAAACAGATCAATCACAAAGTAGCTGCGAAAGGTAATAACTAAACCTATACTTGATCAAACTAGAACCACAAGCAGAGTCTGAGAATCTAATGAAGAAAACATTCCTGTTGGCAACACGTCGCTACAAACTAGTAAAAGGAGACACCTGACTTTGTAAAATAAACAACAAAAGCAAATAGAAATCAAGAAGCAAAGGAACTCCACAAGAACTACCACAACATAGGCATGTCCGCGTTGCATTCATCAAAAGTCCACAGAAGCAAAAGAAAGTCTGCCACACTCCATTGATTTCACCCCAGAGAAGGAAGGTGGCTTCTTCACTCATCACCTGACCTCATCCTATACTGTATGTATAAAAATAAAAGTTGAGCCCTGTGATGTCTGAGAGGGGCTTCACTGCTGGTTTTTTTTTTGGACTTGACAACTACAGTACATTCATTCTTGTGCTGCAGCCATTTCTTTATACAAATGTATAGGCACTGAAACAAGGTCAAAAACCGCCATCGACATCCAGCCAGCGCTGATGGTCTTGTGTTGAGTTCATCAGAGTGCATTTGAATTCACTCAATAAGGGTCCCTTCAGATTAGGAGGAGGAGTTTGATGGCTACAACTCCTGATGTAAAAAGTTCTACATTTGGAGATTTGGTCTCAAAGTTTGTCCGTTGTCTGACAATCATCACCCTTGCATGATTCACTACGGCAACCGTGTAATTTGCAGACAAGTAGCCCTTGTCCATTTCTTCCCAAGCCACCTTCCTTTTCTTCCCATCGCGTGCATGTGTGTGTGTCTACTGATGAACAAGTTTACTCCTTCACCTCAAGCAGGGGTTTGTGTTGACTCTTCCATGAATTCACAAAGTTTTCCAATTTGAGCCTTCGCAAAGATTTCCGGTGTGGACGAGTCACCGATGCTGCGTTCGAAAGATTATAGAAAGCAATAGCCTTTACTGAAACAGACTCTGTTCAATGCTGGTCAGGTTAGATTAAATCAGTCACTTTTTTTTTTTTCCAATTTTGTGCTCAGTGATTAGAAAGCTACTTCAGAGAAGAAAATGGTCTCAAGAGTGTGGCATGGCTGGGATTTGTGTGCCACGCCTTGGAAAAAGTCTGAAATCCCCTCAGCCAGTCCACCACTGATGCGTGGTGCAAAACCACTCCATTAGAAGACCTTGTAAAAGAGCCAGTGGTTCCCAAGGCAAATGGTAGGTTTCTTAGTTCCAGTCTCCAGGTCGTCAGCGTCAAGCACAGAAAGTGTTTCCTTTCCTCTCCGAAAGGGAGGGAGCGAACGGATGTGTGTCAACTGCCGCTTTTCCTTCAGAGGCCGCTGAGGAGTTTGGGACCCTCTTCCCAAGATCAACCTAATTTGGATCAGTCCCGGACTTCTTGTGAGTTGGAAAATTTTAAGGATGAAGATTTTTTTTTTTTTGCATTGCCTCATCGGATCACTTTGTGCGATCCTGCTTCATGCAAGTCTGGAGAACCAATTCTTGAAATTCAGCCGGAAACCCTGGAGCGTCACCCGCCGTCTTTCCTGGCATCTGCGAGGTGAAAGATGTTTGTTGGACATTTGGGTTGGCGTTTGAGCCTCGAGACCATCGGCGTGTTCCCTCGGCAGCCTGACAACACGTGGCCATCTTGTCGACTTCCCTCCTCGCACCGCCGTCGGTGCCCGCTTCCTGCCCGTCCACCGGCCTTTTGCCTCCTCCTCGCCCGTCTCTCCGTGCCCTCGTCTTCTACCCTCTTATTTCTCTCGCTGGTCATGGTTTGCTATTCCGTCGCTTTCACTCGGTGGTGCTTCGGTTGTAGCAGAGGAAAACAGGTATCCATTTTATGATTTTATTATTTCCCAGATTAAAAAGCTAGTGAACTAAGCTCAGCTCAAGCCTAGCTCACTTCTTCAAGCAACCTGCAAAGATGAGAACACACAAAGTTGTTCAAATCAAAATGAACGCGCAACAAACAGGTTCATCTTCGTAAATTACAATGTAACAGAGAGATCGTTGATTTCAGTAGTTCATTTGAAAAAGTGACACTCAGAACATACATCGTAGATTCATAGGAAACATTTCAGAAAACCAATTCCCACCTAATTTAATTAATCCCGTTGCTTTGTTTTCTAGTGCTTGCCATGTGACATTCAACTGTCAGCCATAATTTGCTAAATTAACACACAAAATATTTCCCTGTGTGTATGCAGTGAATCAAAATGAATTTCTCTTTTTTACTGAACTACAGGAATCAACCTATTTGTAGTTCACTACATGCAAACCTGTCCAACATTATTTGCACAAAAAAAGTCAAATATCGCCACCAAAACCCATCCAAATAAAAATGTGTCTTCATGAAGGAGGTTGAAGTGATATACAAGCTTTAAATATTGAGGAGGGGTTAAGTTTAGCCCGGGTTGTTGGTGGAAGTTTGGAGAGCCTTCACTGCGTGTGTATGTAGATGTTCACTTGCAATGCGTTTTTTCCATGAATCAAATCATCTTTAAGTCATTTATGAGGGCAATGTTTGAAATGTCCAACTACTTTGGGATAATGGTTTATGGTATATTTACAGTATAAAAATATTAATTCAAGCAATTCAAAGTTTTTGGAGATGGGATCAATTACTTTTTTTTTAAACAATTTTTCACTGTTCAGATTCAGTTTTCCGTGATTTGTTTTGCAATGCACTTGTAATTGCTTTCAATAATATAAGAATCATGATGTGTGCGTGTTCAATGGAATCCAAGCAAATGTCCAAGTTGAAGCACTTACACTCTAGTACTGTGACAGGCCGGTCACCCCACCATGTTGGTATGCACGTTCACCCTGGTAAGTCGAGTCCTGGGACAAAGCCACGTCGATTTGGGACTTGAACTCATCACCCAAGTAACTGTCCTGTAAAATAATGAGACACCCCCCACAAAAAAATGTTTTTTGATTTAATCATTGGTTGATCCATCGAAGGTAGTGATTGTCAACCTCTGTGCCACGGCACACGGGGGTGCTGTGAGACAAATGAACTGCAGGAAAAGATTTCATTTCACTTAACGGGTCAGAAAATGACCAGTCAACCCCCGCAATCGCAAATCCACCCGTATGTGGATTTTTTTCTTACTTATCTCAAAACAGCCCAGTCCTCCTCTCACAGCATGCCATTTTGCTTATGCGTAGACCAGACCGGTGGCCTGGTGCTTAATGAGCCTGAGGAGAATGTTCGTTTTTCAATGTTCTGCTTTTTGGAACATGTGATTGGATAGCCCGAAGTGGAGGATGGGGGCAGTGACTTGACTACAGAGAGCAAGGAAAGCAGAGGTTGGAGAAAGATATGTGATTTGCCATAAGCAGTTTCCTGTACTCTACACTACTACATTTATAAGAGATGAGCAATGTTAAAATTTGTATGATGCATTATTAAAATGTTTAATGATCATAATTTGTGGTCTAAACTATTAATATAGACAATTATATCATCATCTCTTGTCATAAATTAGATGACCTATGGGAGCAGTGCCAATTATTTGCGGAAATCCGTCACTCGCGGCCTGGCTCTGCGCCTCTTCTGCAAATGGTCCAGTAGTTTGTCTATGTCTACTTTTAGTGACATTTTTGTTTGGTGGCCTTTTTGTTTGGTGGTGTGCCACGAGCTTTTTTGTTCCAAATGAAAAATGGGTGTTTTCTCAATAAAGGTTAGAAAACACCATAGATCCTAAGGTGCTGTTCAGTGTTTGCTTGTGTGACAGCTATAACAGCCAACATCATTCTCAGTGCTAAGGACTTTTAAACATGTTTTTTTAACCAATACATTTCTCCAATTCAAATAAAGCCCTTGATGCAGCGTCCATAAGAATGAGAGTGATGCGTTACCTGGGACAGTTCTGGCTGGGAGAGACCGGGCTGGCTCATCTGGGAAGGCTGACTCATTGAAATGTAGCCTTGTGTCAGTGGCCCCTGCGAGAAGGGCTGGGAGGCCCCGTCCTGGCTGGCCTGGCTGTTTGGTCCGTGACCGGCACCGTGGGCTGCCGAGCCACGGGGCCTCTGGCGCCCGCCACGTCCTGGCTTATTGCCCTTCATAGCGCCACGGCCTGAATAGATCACATAGGTCGTGTAGAAGGATTTTAACATGGGATCAGTTGGCCCACCCTCGCACTCTCCTTTTTTTTCCACCTTATGATGTGACTCAAAGGTTTTCTCTTTGCAGTAGCGTACCTGCGGCGGGGCCGTTAGTTTGGCCTAAGTAACTGGGCGGAGGCATGGGGGGCATCACCAGGTTGAAGGGAATAGGGAGATTCATCGCAGCAATGTGACCAGGACCCGCACCGATCATCCCAATCTGGTCGTGAGTTTGGAAGTACATGTTGGATGGGCGACCGACTGAAAAGGAGAAAAAAAAAAAAGATTTAAGAATTAAATTCAGTGATGGGAAAAAAAAACACCTTTTGTGGAGATTTTTATGTAAAATAAGCACCAGCGTTGCTGCGGTCGTAGGCAGAACCAGGAATAAGAGCTTCACGGGCATCATACATCGCAGTGCTCATGAAACGTCCGCCCTGTAACAACACCAAAGAACAAAGAATTACCATATCTTCCTGATTGTAACTCACACTTTTTTTCAGAATGTGGCTGGTCCTACAATTTATACTTCGGTGCAATTGTTCATGTTAAAATTCGAGCTCCGCTGTCATCTAAAGTCCCCTCTCTCTAATAATGTTGAATTTCTGTGCATTATCGCCACCTTCCTTCCACTGTCTATGATGCATTACTGCTCGTGGCCACCTTCTTTATAGCATACTAAAGACGGTGGTGGCATTGCACCAAAAGTATATGCCAAAAGAGAGTAGAAGAAGAAATGACAGCAGAAGTACTCAAAGATGAACAAGAACTGTATTCATGGCGGCTATTGTGTAACATAACGCTAGAATGTGGAATCTGCCACAAGGATTAACCATTTACAACAATAAAAGGCACAACCAACCAACCAAGATTCTACCTTTAGCCACAACGTGAGGTGGGATTCCAGTTAAGGTAAAGGATTTTGTTTTGTAGCAGCAGCTAAGTGAACAAATCTGACTAAAAGTGTTTCTAGCATATGGAGTTGTCCCACTGGCGTCTTCACAGCAACTCACAGGATTGATAGTGTTGACCAGCTTGCGTGGCTTGCTGAACTGCATGAGGCTCTCCCTCAGGTTGTTGAGCGGTCCCTCCACAAGGACCTTCTGCTCTTTGTAGTTGTTCAGCAGGTTGTTCCACAGAGGCTGCCTCGAAAGCGCCTTGGGGTTCCCGACAATGATCACTCCATATCTTCACCAAGAGTGAGAAAGTATTTTGAATATATATTACATTTTGCACCAGTGTCAATAAATCCATCTAAAAAGGCATGTCGTGTTTCATCATTTGTAACTGGACAGTGCTTCCTTACTTGGCTCTGGTCAAAGCCACATTAAGTCGACGTGGATCATTCAAGAAGCCAATGCCCTGGTGCTCGTTGGCACGAACACAAGACAGGATGATGAAGTCTTTTTCTCTGCCCTGGAAGGCATCCACACTTGCGATTTCCACTTGCTGTTATGGGACGGGATAATACAATAGTGTTAATTGTATGTGCAACCTTTTGTTGCGGAAAAAAAGCACTTAAAGGACTAAGAAAAAAAAAGGTGTTCTTTGGAGCTGGGTGAGGTACCTGATAGAGTTTAGTGTGCAGAGAGCCACTGAACTGCATGTATTGGACCAGGTAGGAACGTTGACCCTCATATGGGGTGATGATCCCAATCTGGTCAGGCTTGGCACCCGCCTTCAACAGCCTGGTGGTGATTTTCTCTACATTTGCAGCCTCGGTCCTGAACAGAAAAACACACGATGCACTGAATCCAACAAAGGGGCAAAAAAAGGGTTGAGTGAAAATTCTGAATTGCCTGGAATAAGCAAAACTGCCACAGAGTAGAGCAGATACAGTTGGGGGAAAAAGTATGTGAATCCTTTGGCATACAAATTTAAGTAGATTGATTTTGATGAAGATCAGAACCCATTTTATGACCAAATTAGGCAGAAATTTCAGAAATTTTACACGGTTCACATCGTTTCTCCTGCCACTGTATGCACTGTGGGATGTTACCTGTTCAGGTAGGAGGTTCCAGAGCTCGCAATTTCCTCCTGACCTTGAGTCACATAAAAGAACATGGGCTTGTCTGGCTGTGGCCACTGGAAGTCAAAGCCCTTCTTGATGCGGTCAGCTGAAAAGAGTAGAAAAAGCTTGTGTTTTTTATCTCCCCGGCGAGATCTTATTCTCCTCGGTTCCGTTCCCACAACAACATTGACAGGAGCAAACCTGCTGTCACTCCATTCTGCAAGGAGCCCTCGTAGAAGATGTTCGACGGGAAGGCGCTGAGAGCTGGATGCATTCGGTACTGGACCTGAAGACGAATTGGTCGGATCCCCAGAACCACCAAGCGCTCAAACAGGGACTGGGACAACCCTGCCTTGGCGGCCTTCTTACACATCACCACAGGACCAAGCTGGCAGTGGTCACCCACCAGGATGAGCTACAAAATTGGTCAATTTAATGACATGTAACGGAGTTTGCAAACAGCTTATTAACAAACTACATTTTCACCAGTTTTACTTTCGTTTATTTGTAGATGGTGAACATTGGGGGGCTAGGGGGTGATCCAATTATAGTCAGGTTGAGACACTAATGTTCCTATTTGACTGTCTGCTACCCGTACTGCTTTGCTTTCTGTCATAATTCTGCAAATACTATCTCTCAAATGACTAATGTATCAAATGTATCAATGTTTAACTTTGAGAAGTGATCATATTGTGTGATCTCGGAGGGACCGAAAGCTTAAACAGTATCAATCCCAACGTCACTGCGGTGAGCATAATGTCTGTCTGCTCACAACACACTCTGTGGTCACGCTTTTTGTATCTTTTCGCTTGGAAACAACACTCCATGCTGGCTAAAGATTTTGTACGGTCGTTAAGATAGTTCAGCAATACACTGTGCAGACATATTGAGGAATAAAACCAAATATGCAGCTCCAGACTAAGCACAGTGATTGATTCAATGCACATTTCAGAGAGCATAACTCCATTTTATTATCCACATTTATACAACTTTAAAGTTGTTAAAATTACCTTGGTGAAATAAACAACCATTCACTGTTTACAGTAGCTGTAATTTTATGTATTGCATGTTTTCAAAGCAGCTACACCGTGACTAAAAATCAAGTTCTGCTTGTTTGGAAAGTAATAAGTCAGACTCCTTTTCCCCACTTTTCCTTCCTTGGGGCATGGCAAATATTAAATATAAACGAACGTGCTTGAGAATATTTTGTAAACAGTACACAAGTAGATTCAGTAAGTAATTTAGACATAATGTGCTTCATTTTCTGATCGGTGATCGTTCTCATAACTCTCTGGTTAGTTATCGTCCCCCAAAAAAAATCCTGATTATGTAAAGTCGAGTTTAAATTGTGACAAGGGGTCAAATGAACATGTACAGAGAATGCTTGGTTTGGGTTTGAGTTCTATTCCCACAGCATCTGTGCGATTTATCTGTGTGGTGTGGGGGAAAAAAAACTTCAGCAAAAGGTGAGTGGAATTTCCCCATGTGAGATTAATAAAAGTTCATCCTGCGTCGTTCATAAATGTGAATTGCTTCAAGTCGGGACCGTCATAAACCGGGTAACACCTACACCAGGGTGCCCAAGTCCAATCTTCGAGAGCCCCTATCCAGTTTCTTCTAGATGTCTCCGTCCAACACACCTGATTCAAATGATCAGAATCTTTATCAGTCTTCTACAAAACTTACTGATGAGCCGATCATTTGAATTAGGTGTGTTGGAGGACGGAAACATCTAAAACAAACTGGATAGGAGCTCACTCAAGACCGGACTTTAAGCACCCCTCCCCGCCACCCACCACCTGACCTTGAGCCACATATCTTACATTCACAACACCTTCTGTTGTTGGGAATCATACCTGCTTTGCTCCAAGCACAACAGGCACCATGCACTCAGGCTCAGTGGCCTGGGTGCTCTCATCAATCAGGATGGAGCGAAACTGCATCTTGGCCAGGCGAGGGTCCCCGGCACCAACACAGGTGCAGCAGATCACATCTGCATTCTGCAGCAAAGGATGACAAGAATTACAAACTTCAACCCGACTCAGAGTCAACTTAAAAATATTAGCGTCAGCAGCTTCAAATTAAAAGGCCAGGAAAAGACCAAACTTAAACGCTGGCCATTTTGGGTGGACTCACCATTAGCAGCTCCCTCTCAGCGGTGCGTTTCAAGGCTCTATAGCGCTTCTCATCAGCAGAAGATAGCTCGCCAGTCTCATCCTTTAGCTGCTGAAGTTTCTGAAGTTCTGGCATACTAAAAATTAAAACACTACAGGATGACTCCACAAACAACATATGACACTGCCAATTCAAATACAGGGGGGCTCCTTGGTTTAAGATGGTACTGCCTTTCGACATTTCAAGGTTACAAATAGCGATCACCGCAAGAATCCATTGACGCGTAGCACAAGAAGCCACGTTCAGTCAATGCCGTTTTTCAAAGTAATTGCTGTGTATGGCTTGGGAGCATTTTTCAAACAATTACTGTAAAAACGCCTTTACAACATAGGCTACTATTGAAATTGGTGATCTTCAGCATTTTAAGCCAAAATCGGTGATTGACTGTAACGTCATCATTTGTGCAGTCTATCAATGACATTATCGATCACCTCTGCGAAGTAAGACATTCCAACAAACACAACCTCGTTCAGTCCGGAGTCGTTCTGTGCTGCCATAGTGGATGTGTGTGAGCCCCAAAGCTATTATTCTATTTTCAGCCTTGTCGTGCTTTTTGTGAGCGGAAAGACATGCGCTGGCAGGCAGATGTTGCACCTCTGTGCCCTTGACCATCCAATCACAAAGTAATTGCGTTTTTTTGTTGTCCTTTTTTTTTTAAACTGAAGTCTGAAGTCCATTTCAATTACATAAAAAAATAAAAAATAAAACAACGAGCTAACTAACTACGCTATGTGTGTTATATAGTTACCATCTCTTAAATTCCAATTAAGAAAGCCTCTATTTGTCTCATCAAATTGCTTTCATCACTTAGCCCAAGTTACGTGACCCCTGTCCACACACATTCAGATGCCAGTCGCAGGCAAGGGATGTTTGTTTGAATTCACACAAAAGATAGCTACAGTGTTGGCCATGAATGAAACTTTTTTGCTAAATGAGGATATGAGATATACCGTGGTCATACCAAATGTTGTCCTGAGCTATTCTCGTGATGCGATTACATATAAAGTCATTACAGTTCATGTTGATAGTGCTGAATCTGTACAGCATACACGACAGGTAAAAGTGGACAAACGTAAAAAAAATAAACAATGAAGACGTGCTTGTGTCTGCAAGGTTTTGTTTTCTTATTCTCTCAGGTAAATATAAATAACCAATGACAGGCCTACTGGATCAGTTTTTTCCTGAATGCAAGATCTGAGGATGTTACAATAAATCCTGAGGTACCAAGGAAAGCTGCTGAGTAACTCGAACCTAAAGCGGGGTAATCATGTGACCCAAACCATCCAGCGAGAACAAAGAATTTCTCCATTTCCATTGACTGACCTGTCCATATTGCTGATCTGGTTATGCAATGCCAGGAAAGACACTGGTGACTCAATAGCCTCACGACTCTTAGCACACAGCCTGACCACCTTAAGCCCAGTCTTGTCAATCTTCTCAGTTAACTGGTCCACTGCAATGTTGCTGGGAGCGCATACCAGGACTGGTCTACAGAGACAGAGAGAAACAGACAGACAAGACAGGAAAGAAAGAAAGAGTAACAGTCAGAGTGATACAGAGAGAAACAGACAAGAGATACACAGACATGGAGACTGATAAACATGAATTACACAATCTAAAACTAATATGAAACAAAACACTTCAAAAGGTCGTTGTTACCCGTTGCCCTGACGTGACAGGTGATAGACAATCGTGGCAGAAGTAACAGTCTTGCCGGTGCCAGGAGGACCCTGGATCAGGCTGAGAGGCCTCTGCAGCACCGTCTTAACAGCATACACCTATGCACAAAAGTACATATTGCACATAGGAACACCAAAATGGCTTGAATAATCATGGGACACTGAATTAATGAAAACACCAAATCTCATCTTCCTAAACTGCGTTTCACCATAAATAATTAGCGACAAACCACATGAGGCCATGTCCACAGAAGGCAAATGAAAAGCAAAGATTGACAAGTGACTGACCTGTGAATGATTAAGATCAGGTAGGCCCTGGGCAGTGAAGCGCTTGGGTAGCTGACACTTAATGGTAACATCTTCCACTTCGTGACCCAAAAGCTTGTGGTAAATGTAGCCTGACACTGAGGTCTCATCCACAGCAAAGGTCTTCAGAGCACTCTGCATTCTGCAGTAGAACAAGCATAAACAGGTAGCAACACTGTCTGACAAGGATGGCAACCATGTTAAGAATTAGAAATGATAAGGCACAGATGGTTTGGGATTACCCGTCACAAGGGAGTATGATACATGCTTAGTCAACCAAGTCAAGGTAGTCTGAAATTTTTTTCAGAAAACAATGGGAATGTTTTCTGAATATCCCCCTGCTGGAGTTTCGGGGCGGACTTCCAATTTTTAGTTCCTTGGCAGGAATGACATTATCCACGATAACCTACCATCTCATTTGAACAGGTTCTCATGCCCCATGGTTAAGATATTTGATGATTTTGATTACCTCTTTTGAAACGCCATTTGTATGTACTAAAAAATTCCTTCACCGTTCACAAATTACATCACCACCACATCACGTTGAGTAATACCAACAGTCAGGTTATGGAAGAGCTGCTAAACCAGTCATACCTAAAATTTGAGGCTAGCCTACCTATCAAAGGAAGTAGCCTTCCACACAAAGTCCACCTGGAAGTTATGGGGAATTTCCACAGGGGCTCCAACACTGCTCCGCAGTTCAATAGCAATTTCATCCCCATAGTCTGTAAAAGGAAGCTGTTAAGGAACTTGAGGCCTGAGAAAGTAAAGTTTGTCCGTTACAGCCGCAACACAGAGTGTCCAATCTCAGCTGTAAAATCACAAGGAGGCAGTAATTGCTCTGTTTGTATAATGCTCGAAAGTCGGAGGTTATGGTAGAAGACAATGTTTTGAAAACGTAAATCCAATAGATGTTCTGTGAATGTCTTGAAATCTCGTGCCAATGTAAATGTAACATTTTGACCTTTTTCGGACACATTGTTCTGAAGTAAGAGGATGAACTGACACTGGAACTGCCAATCATGAAAAGGATACTGTCCGGAACCTTGATGACATGGCCAATCCCTTTCCACAGCGGGGCCAGGTCGCCTTTGTAGCGCAGGCAGATCTCATCACCTTGCATCAAGCGCATATCTGATTTTGGCAAAGGAGAACAGATGGGAAATTGTGTTAGAGTGATTCACATAAACTAAAAAATAATTTGCTAATGAATCTACTGACACAATTTGTAAAAAAAAAATAAATAAATAATAATAAAATTAAAAAAAAAAAAAAAAAAAAAAATTATGTGACATTTAAGCCCAAGGAAAGTTTTTGCCTTCCAGAGATGAAACCGCGTATATGTTAGCC